CAACTAAAGAACAAATCTGTGCGTACGAACGGTTCTTGCATGAGGCCCATTGTGCATTAATCAATTTTCTATATAAATGCGCTGGAATTAACACAACAGCTAATATTCAGTCATTATCATAACTGGATTAAAAAATATAAATAGTTTATAAAACAAGTGCACAAAATAAATACAACAATCAATAAAGCAATCCCAAAAAACATCACACACTGCAAGGTATACGGCTAAAATACACCTGTTATACGAATGAATACAGAACTGATTTTCTTTAAGCCAAACTAAGTTTCTTTCTAAATATGGAATAGCTACAGTYTCTGGTATGTTATGGTTGTTCATGTTCCTTTAAGTGACGTCACCTTTCACCCAAAGTGTTCATTGTCTTACTACGACACAGTCTGTTCTAGTCTGAGATCTAGAGTTTATTCTGGAYTTGTACTTCTGAATAAAGGAGTTTAAAGGTGGAGGAGTGTCCATTTAGCAGCCTACAAACAAAATTTAAATCACTGAACATTTGATAATTTTCTAAGTCCAAGATGTTGTACTTATTGGTATGACATGATGCATGTGTGCGGGGATAGTTGTTTTGGTTTTTGACCTAAAGTTAGCAGAACTAAGTTTAACAGAAGCTAACTGGTCAGCTAATGGTTTCCAAAGTTAGCGAAAATGCTAACTCACTAAACGTAAAGGCTGTGTCCAAAATGAAAGGCTGGGTCCTCCGAAGGACCCGGCCTACCCAGTCGAGGTGGGCTGGGTCCTTGRTAGACCGTGAAGACCGGAAAAAAGTGTCTGTGAATTTGGACGGTCTAGCCTCCCGTCCTTACCCCGGTGTACGTCCAGTCGCCTAGCAACTGTGACGATGCTAAACAGAAGCAACATTAGATCAAAATTAGAAAAATATCAATATATTTGCATTATTTAATACGACAAAACAATAAAATTAACTTAAAGGTAACATTTGAAGAACTAATAGAACCGCCATAGGTGTATGTTTATGTTGCTATATGATTTTTTCTGACAAAAATAATATTTAAAAGCATGTTGTGGTGGAAATATATTATATAATCTTGCCTAACTGCTTAGTTCACATTACCCTGACATGTCCTGTAGGATCTCTCTTTGATTACTGCCACATTTGTATAATCTGTTCTCATGATTCTTAAAGACGCCATCTGATCTCTACAAACTTGTTCCCATTTCATATTGTATGTGTAACCTGTATTACTTTCATTGGTCATTCAATATCTTTGTAGTATTTGGCATGCTCTTATTTGTTCTTACGGACCACGCCCTGAAGTATTTATATGTCTTTCCTGTCTGTGGCTAACCAGTGGTAACTTGACTGGAGCTGCTGATCTCTCTCTGTCTGGTGGCCACTCTGCATAGATGCAACCTTATTAAATCATTTGACGACCAAACCACGCAGCATATCTTTCTTTTATTCACGTGTTTCTGCCTTAGTGGAATATTTCCACAACACATGTTTATACAAATGATAAAAGTATTAAAAATACAACCGCTTGAAACTTTAAATGTTTTTATCGCCATATTTTTACTTAAAACGTATTCTTTTCTCTCACTTCGTCCGCCATTACTAGCATAAAAAAATCTCCTGTCGGGCCGCAATGCATTATGGGATATGCTGGGCCAGGAAGGATCCATCAGACCTGTCCTTCGATTCGGGCCAAAGGAAGGACGTATTTGTCGGCCGCATCGGAGGAGTCTTCGGTTTTGGACGGTCTCCGTCGCGGCGCTGTGATGTATGCGGCCGACAAATTCGATCTTCGGAGGACCCGGCCCACCGTTTTGGACACAGCCAAAGTTAGTTGTGCTGTTAGCTGTCAGCAGATTAGTGGAACTGTGCCTACTGCTGGCTGTTTCTATTCTTACCTCATTGTTTGTTGTTTTGTTTTTTGCTTGTTTTAAAAAAATGCACAGCAAATTGAATAAGGAGCTTTTTTTTCCAAAGGAAATGGTAGCTTAAAGGAAGTAGGATGTAAAAAATAAGGTGCAATTCATAGGCTTGTAAATTTGTTATTTGCTCTTCCATCAACYATTCTTCTGCTGAAAGGAGAAGCAACAGTTAAAGTTCCCCGAAGCTCCAGAATAACTTTTATGTCAGGTGTTGAGTGAAAACTGGTCCTGCTCTATAGGCTTCTTCACCCAGGCACCGAGTCCCGCCTTGTGGAAGGCTTTGAAGAGGGTCTGCTTGGCAGAATGGTACTCCACTGCTGCCTGCTTGGCCTCGTGGTAGCTGCTGGGCTGCACCGACTGGATCCGCAAGCTGGAGGACAGCTACAGAACACAAGGAGAATCYATTAGGTCAGGTTGAAAACACCGTCTGATTGTGTATTTTTTGTAAAACCTCATTTATACAACCTCAGTTCTGAAAAAAATTACAAAGTAAAACAAGTACAACAAACTTAACATACTTTAAATTTCATTTTAAAATGATCTCTGACTACTGTCACGTTATTTCTCTGTTCTACTGAAAGTTGTTTGTGACRTGTGAAAACTCCTAATTACTTAAAACAYGTTTATAACACTGTATTACTTAAACACATTGAAGGAAATTTTGTAACTGAAATCCAGCTGATTCCTGTTTATTCGGACATACCATTTTGAACAACGCATATTTTTCCTACATCACCATTTTTTATATCGACACAATAAACTCTGGGGACACTTGAGACAAAACCACAAATAGTCAAGGCTAAAAAGCTATAATGTGACAAAGTTATATGTTGCATTAGTTGTTCTGCACAATATATGGGTTGAAATTATCTAACGTGATGTTTAGTAAATTAGCTCTGGAGCTAACTGTATTTATTAGCTCTAGCGCTAATGCCTTACATGTATCAGGAGCTAACATGAAAGCTAAAGGCTAAAGCTGAGGTGAGCCTTCCATGAACCAGCTCTGCTAAAAGTCAGATAATGTCCAAAATTAACCTTCAAGCTACATGCAGCTCACACTGGAGCAGCCAGTTGACRTAATTTACCCAGAATGCTTCGTGTTGCAAATAACATGGCGGCGTCCATGTGACAACATATTTATTTATAAAAACAAACAGCCTAGTTTTTTTTACTGTTTTTGAATGTTTATCAAATAATGTCTGATGTTTCAACTAATCAGAGATCATTTTAACAACTTGCTTCCTGTATCAGGATCAGAGTGATGGTAAAAAAAGGCACACCAATATCTCAGTCTCAATTAAGGTGTAACGATCCATCTTTTACATCGATGCATCGATTTTTTTCCCCTACAATCCAACTATGTTGATCTGTGCTCGGCAAGTTGGCCTTCCGGACGACATTTATCGAACTAAAATCATTTTAAAAAGTAAATAATCGATTATGTCAACACTATGGAATAACTTATCAGATTTAAGCACAGCACCTTATATGGGTTCGTTTTTTATGTACTTTTAAAGAGTAACTTACCCCAAAATTGACTTTTTTTAGCTGATAAACTGTCTAGAATGTGTCTAAAATGTTATAT